ATTGACCTGAAGACACCTAATTGAAGTAGACATTAAAGAATCGCCAAAAAGGGTTCGAATCTCCCTTGGGTCATCTATGAGACAATAGCAGAACCAAGCACTCCAACTCATTGTTATCTTCAGGTAAAATACGTTAATCAATAGTAGAATATACAGTAGAAAATCATGTTAGATGATTTTGTTGTGCTTATAGCGGGTCTTTTTTTATATAGTATGAGCTCAATAGGAGGGTACGTCTAGAGCAGCCGCTCAGAATAGTAAAAACATCGATGAAACACTCGTGCACATGGACTAAGATAAGGTGGGTAAAGTACATGTTGGAAAGTGTATATTTCAATAAATAATTTGAGGACTTCAGTGTGACGTAAAAGAGTGGGAGGGTTAAAAACTTGCAAAAAATTTTAACAGCGAATGAAAATAACAACATGCCGTTTCTTCTTGTTTGTAGAATTTTTTATGCACTTTTTTAAATAATGAAACATAATAAAAATGCATTTGAGGTTTTCGAGAAAACGGCATTCCTAGTTTTGAGGTTAGAGTTACTCTCCCGGCCACTTTAGGAAGCTGAAATAGCAATTCTCTTGGCCACTTTTTTTATACAATCTTTTACCGATAGCTCTCAGTTGACTGGTTGTCGTGATACAGCCGGCGTCCTTTATCAATGACACAAAGGTAGAAACCGACAGATTATCATACCTCAAACGTCATCGTCAGGTGAGGCATATGCAATATCAATATCTGACGCGCTACAGTGTCTCTATGAAACTATTTTTGTCTTACATTTCTGACACGTGCAGTCGCACCCCCCATCACTAACAGAGACATCACTTCTGCGATTTAATCTTCAAAACGCAATAGGTCTCTACGATGACCATTTAGCCTCTCGGGCACTTTAGGTATAGAGACCGATTCGAAAGTAGCGTAATCTAGAAGATCAGCCCAAAGTTCTACGCCCTTTAAAACCATGCGACGTAATCAATAAAACTCAACTAACTATTACTTCTACAAGAAATGGCGTCATCTAGGTTGACTCTGCATTTCCCACGCAACGCTGTCGTCAGTTCATGAAGGATTACGTTCAGTACAAGTCACTCTCAGCTAGCTACAAAAATGTATAACAAAAAAATTGAATGGATTCGGTCAGCCAAAGATGCCCATACACTTGGTGCATACTCTATAGTCCACACCCATTCTTAACTGACCTACTTATTGACAATCTGGCAAAAGTTCTGAACCTCACCATTTAACCATGCCAAACGTGCCAGCCGCGGTACTATAACTCGAGATCGAGAACGCCGCTGATGCAGTTAGATGGGTACACGGTTTATCGCATGAAGGTTGCCATCGTCCCGACCGACCGCGTGTTGCGTCTGTGAAACGACATTACCCCAAGTTTTGAAGGCAAATGTACGAGCAAATCTATGATATATGAAATATGCGCTGAAAGGTGCCTAAAATTGCTGGAGTTGGTAGAGCATAAATATGTATACTGCCGCCGAAAAATGAGGTATAGGGTGGGGGCCAATGTCCGCATTTTTGCATTTGTAGTTGCTTGTGACTCCGTCTATAACGCGAACTTCAAACTTGTTGACATGTTAGAACCATTAATACTGTTGACTTCTGACATGAAACAAATGCAAAATATACGGATATATGTTAGAAAAAAAGTATCATACCAAAACATGATAATCCGGATGTTTGCCCATTGGAAGCGGGTAAAAATCCGCATCCCGGACTTTTGCTCCTTTCAAAAAGTACTTTCAAAAAATGGAAACTGCATGTCATATAACTGAAGAATATATTTCCAAAATAACAAAGTATTTTCTAAATAAAGAAGAAACAACATCTATTACAAAACAACATAACTCAATTCTGTTGAAAACGTAACTGAATCCTTAAACCTGGCAGAACTGCCTGTCAGTGGCATGGGGAGAGTCTACTTACAATGTCACACTTATTGATGAAGAATTCTTCAGTAGCTTTAATAATTTTCTGTGTATTGGGCGCTTTTTTGAAGTATCGTCCGTTACATCTTCCATCACCTCAATAATCCGCATCACGTAATGGCGAAATGAATTTTTGGTTTTTCCGTATACTTTGACAACAACAAACAGTCCTGGGCTAAAGTCGGGGACTGCTTCATCATCACTGTTTGAGAGATTCAGATCGTTACTGCTGAAGGGAAAGTTGCGATTCTGATTCCGATGAGGTCTCGTTATTTTTTCTTGTGAGATTTTGTTTTTCGCTAAACACGTTTCTTCTTACTGTTTTAGTTCCTGTTGATCTTCGCTTTTCTTTCCTTTTCTTTCATTTTTCTTTCCTCTTTTTGCTCTGTATTTTCTAATTCCTCTTTGTTTGGAGTGGAAGTGAGTAAAGTAGATTCGAGTCCTTTTCTCGTCCGCTGTCTCTTTTTAGAAATTATAAATTATAGAGAGCAGAATAATATCAGAAGGTAGCACAACACTACGTTCACATTGTGAAGAACACGACGCTTTAGAAAAAATGGTAGAGTTGTCTTGGCCACTATTTTTCCTTTCATTAGATTCGAGCATTATTGCACTACTATAGATAGCCATTTCCACTATTTATCTCTCCTCTAATGCTCTCTCGACTATTGACTCCTCTACTGGTGCCCTCTGCTCAATTTTCCCGTCTGTTATCGCCTTCGGGCCTGTCTTCTTCAAATACAGTCACTAAATGCATGTCTGGGTCATTCATATCTAGGTCATCTATGTCATCAATCTCCTATTCTGCCACAGAAGCTCGAACAAACTCTTCTTCAGTGAAAATATTTTCATTGAGAGGGTATATTCCAGTCATCTGAAATCCATTAACGAATTTTTCAATACTAATAGTTTTTTTCATAGGCCTGCTTGAATAATCCAGCGACATGATATTCTGTTACTACTTGTCCAGGATTTGATGAAGTCCAGTTATCACATAAGACATCGTAATAACCTTTAAGTGGCCTGAAAAAATGTCTGTCGAAGGGCTGTGTACGGTGACTGCTATGAGGTGGAAGACTGAGCAAGTGTATATTATTATTCCTTGTGCAGGTTATCGCCTGCAGGACTGTGTGAGAAATGTGATTGTCCAGAATTAACAGTATAGGGCAGTCAAAAGTAGGATTTGTGTACTTACGAAAATGTTCTAAATAATCGACGAATCTTAGTGAATTCATATATCAAGAGTCCGTTACACCTAAAGCAGAACCAGTTGGAGCATCTTTTATCAAAAGAGGATATAATCTCTTTCGCGCGAAAATAAAAAATAATGGAACATAGTGGCCCGTTGCACTCATAGAGCATGCCATTGTCAGAGTCTTTCCCTGCTCAGCAGCTACATTTTAGGCTATTTCTATTTTCCCGTGGGAGCCACATGTTTTGGCAATTTACTTGGGACGGTTTGGAATCCATTTCCATCCATGTTCTAAATTCTGTTGGGTGGAAATTTGTACTTCTCAATGACTAATTTAAAATTTTTAAAATACTGGAACAACTGCTGCTTGTTGAATCCCATTGTTCTGGCTACGCTAGTTTTTCGAGGGGTACGCAGTGAAAGTCGATTCCTTTTCATGAATTGTCTCGTCCAATCTCTATCTGCTAGTTTAGTTTCATTATTAAATGGGTGAAGGATCCCATTTTTGTGTGCAAACTGATATGCCAGAAAACGGAGAGATTTCAAGATAAGTCTGTAGAAACGTAAGTCCAATGCCTTACAATGGTCCACTATTTTTCTTGCACTGCAGTAAATACTTTTTGAAACCGCCCTAATGAATTCACGCCACTGCCAGCTTTTATCTTCTTCCGAATGGTTGATTCATCGTAGCCAAGGGCTCTTCCTATTTCCCTGAATGATAGCCCATTCTCTCTCAACTCTATAGCCTGTCACAGCACATCCTCCGTGAGTGGCTTTAGGTTTTCCTTTTTTCTTATATAGGTCCTAAAAAGAACGATTTACAGTTTACACATTTCGGCCAAACAACTGATTTTTTTGGATCACCAAAAATGGGGCAAAAATCCGCAAAGAACGGGAGAATGTCCTTAGTGGATCGTTGCCCCATCAGGCATGCGGACTTTTGACCCATAAAGGAACTTTAGATTTATCAAAGTTGGTGTGAAAAACATAACCTCAAATCAAGTTTTGTTTTTGGAAACGTGTTGTCGAAGACTCTACGAGTAGTCCTTTAAAGCTACCTACTGTAAAAATCTCCAGCATATGCCGTGTAAACACATAATCCTCACCTCTATATTGAAAAATTTACAACTTACCTCATAATTAGCACGTATATAACGATGTACAGATCACGTGTTCACGCTGTTGCCATTTCTGCAAGATACCGACCGAGACATGCATCGCTGGGTAGAGAACAATAGGAGAGTTTCTAGCGACACTATTAAGGTTTTTACCCTACGCGGACTTTTAGCCCTACCTACCCTACCCTCCTATAACCCTCAACTCCCGATTTTTAACTCCTACAAATTTTTTTCTGAAAATTTCTCAAGTTTGGGCGATTTATATATTTCTTTTGTTTTACGCTCTAGACGCCACTGTCACTGGACCAATTTTCAAAAACTCTAAAGCTTTTTCGTATTTGACATACCTAGTAGTTATCTCGTATGAATATTTCATTAAAATCTAAGCGGTACTTTCCAAGTTATAGACGGGCCAAGGATTAGCAGATAGACAAACCGACAGACCGCCGGAAATGAGCGACTTGGTTCTTCGTGATGCAAATATCATACTTCGCGTTACAATGCATCCAGTAGCGTAAACGGTAAAATGGACTCAAATATCAAGTATGCCTTATTACCCTCAGAGCAGTGAAAAGTACAGAGAAATATTGACACAGAATCGTATCATTCATAAACGTAGTTTATATCATTAGTTTGTTTTCATGAAGAAAATGTATTACAGGCTTCTATCAACAAAGGCAGCAACAGAAAAGATAGACGCATTTGTTTTTCTAGACTCTAACTCTTCATCATTTCAAAACTTACCGTTATAAAATTTTGTCACAGGATCTTCGCTATCGTAGTACTCCCCCATTGTCTTAAAGAAGGTTTGGTTCTGGAATGAGCACTATCATTGGAAAACTATTCGACTTTTCATACGTTTTCTCCTCAAACGATTATAAGATCTAAATTTACTGTTTAAAAACCATAATTAACTGACAATTACTGACTTGGCGATGTCATTCAAAACTTCCGAATTGCAAGCTGCATACAGGATGAATGTAACTAAGACCAACCAAATTGGGCAGTTCAAAATGAAATAATTGTTGAAAACAGTATATTCTTTTTGTACCCTACTGTGCTAGAAGTCCAAGGGAATCCTTGAAGACCCATATAAGTAATGAGACCTCAACACGCAGTACAAAATCGCATAAACGTCGCCCTAGTGCAGAATAGTGATTATACGGTCAGTGGCTTGTAGTAGCTACTAGATGTTCATTTACTTTATTGTCATTCATACATGGCAACTAAGATCGGTATATACTATTCGTCATTTGTTTATCTGGGCGGTCCATAGGACCTATGCCCATTAGTCACTGTCTTATGTACGTTAGTCGGATCTGTCAGTCCTGGTTGCCCAGAAACCAGACAATGTCGAGGAAAAAGAGAAAGGGAAAGAGAAGGAAAAAGGAGAAGATAAAAAAAAAAACAGAAGTGTTTAGTTTAAGAGAAAACACCTAGCCTTTTTTGACTTGGTACCAAGCTGCACATGCATAAGTAATGGCTGGTCTAATAATCATTTTCTAGTCGAACATTGTTTATCAAACTCAATTTGGAGGATCTACATAACAAAGGATGTAGATCCCGAAACGCAATTTGGAATTTTGTTTTCAAGGCAGCTGTATGTTTCTGCCAGGTCATGCCTTTATCAAGGGTGACACCGAGATACTTGACAGAATTTGTCCATGGTACACGGTTGCCGCCTACAGAAACCTCTGGAGGGCCGCGACGTTTTTTGGTCACGTTCCGCCCACTCTAGTACCTCGACCACTGCACTCTGCAACCCATCGTAAAACAGATCACCAGTACACGACTGGGCGACAAGTGCAGTGTTGTCAGCATAGAGTTAGATTTCACAGTTGCTGGAGCAAGGGACATCATGGATAAGAAGTAAATAAAGGATTGGTTCTAGGTCCGAGCCATGAGGAACACCGGTCCGTACTTGCTAATTTCGATTCGAAACTCATTTCCTTCTAAAAAGGATTTCAGTAATTTTAGAAGCCAAAAAGGAAAACCCTTTTGGATTAGTTTACCGAGGAGGCCCGGGTGAACCCTCTGGTTACATGTTCCACCAGCCTGACTGCCTGTAGCTCGGTGCTACGCTCGGACCGAAAACCGAATTGAACGTCTGGAATCACATGGCAACTAAAATCGGTTATTTTCCTAGGGTGTCAAGATTGTGGAACAATCCACCGTCGAATCTTTTTCCAGTTATGCTTCCTCAGGCTGTTCAAAACACCGAATTAATAAGACGATTTTGAGCGCTTTATAGCAGTAGCGATCCACCAGTATTCTCCCTGGTTGCATAGGAAGAAAAAACTTAAGTGACCAATATGCGGGTTACCAAGGTTTAACATATTATTATATATCATTCTACTTTGCATGATTTATTTAGTTCCATCGTTGCCGTAAAAGTTGCTTTTTCATATGGCAATCTCCTTTGTTAGTAGTGGGATTCCAAAATGTTTATCTGATGCATCTGCAAATTGGTTGCTTCCTCTATTATGACACAAAACATATTATTGCTTGAACTAGTCATAGGTAAACCTCTGCTGAAACTTAACACTGTAAGAACCAATCATTAATCATCTTAAAATTGGTAAGGCTTATAAACCAATCATATTTCAGGCCGACTACTTATAAACCATGTCAAACAACATTAACACCATCCCACATATGCATGATCTCCAATGATACAACTTTATTACTTTCAAGCATCATATTATATACAAATTTGATAGCACATTCGTTCGAAGAAAAATAAAAGAATATCATTAAATAAATTGCTGCATTGTCTTCAAAACAGCCGCCATCTGGATCTCAATAAACAGCGGCACATCCCACGTACGTTTTCAACACTTTTACCGACAATTTCAACGTAATCTTGTTTGTTATTAATTATAGTTGTAAATCGTCGTCATTATTTATACTTGACGCTAATTAACGCAAGATTCAACTTGAAAATGGGCGAGTAATATGCTTCATACTTCCCACCTACATAAACGGCTATTATCGACAGACAATCATTGCGCGATATATATTGATGGGCGCTTGTAGACAATAAAGGGACAGCCTGGATATCTTGTTATTTATTATACAAAGGGAGTCTAAATCGGTACCCGGGACTAAGAGTAATTTAGAGCAAATTGCAAATATGTTATTTTTTGTTATAAAATCAAATTTTTGGGTGTGAATATCAAACATTTTCTAAGGACGTTCCTGCTTACTATTTTATAGTACTTCAAACTTGCGCTATGTAATGCTGCGATATAGAATACTCCTTCATACGCATGTTTTTTATTTTTCACACAAAAACGAACCAATGTTCATCGCAATAATGCAATATTTTTATGATGGAAATAATTATTATTAACTGGTCCTTTCGCTCATTTGAGATAAAGAGAGATATTCGCTTCACTACATCACGATCACTATTAAAACTATTCACATCTATTAAGTGATGCACATAGTGAAATGTCAATTAGAAATTGTTTCTACTTTATAAGAGCAAAAGCTTTAAGTTTCTTGAAAATACTTAGAAGAATATCATGCAGCTTTCAAGAAATCATATCGAAGAAAGCATAACACAACACCTTTACATAATTTATAAGATAAAAACCATCAATTACGGTATGTATTTTGAACTGTGATTTTAGCTCAATACTCAGCTAGTCTTGAACATGTTTTTATCAGCAAGAAACATCGATTTTTCATAGCTTCACATATCTGTTTCTTAGAAAGTCCTTTTTCGCGACTTAAATTTCTCAAAAAGGAAACAACAAAATTTTTGTCTTTGGATAAAGCTACCGTTTGTATTTCGATAAAGTCTACAGTTTCGGAAAAGCATCATGCTTGTTTATGTACTAAAATATTCTGTAACTTGATGTGGTGTTGCTCTTCCGACTAATATATGAAGCCGCATAGATATAATTACGATTGTCTTACTGAGTCTTCGATCAATGTCTTTAGTAAAAGGGACTACGAGATTTTAAGCACCTGAAATATTCAGAATTTAACTATGTTTTTCCTCTCGGCTTCATAAAATCCGACAATCTGTAAGAACCGGCAAAATAACGTGTGGGACAAAAATTTTGAGAAAAAATCCAACAGGCTTCATTTGAACAATAACGAAATCCTAAACAAATGATAGCCGACCATGATCCCCAATAACCAGCACCCAATTTGGTTAAAACTTATCGAAATAAGACAGCGCATGGCAGGCTACTTGTTTGGACTGTATAGTATAGATCTCAGTCCATGAATTCTAACCCATCCACCACGTGACCGCTGGATGGCGACGATTCTAGATGTGATCTGCATGTCGTCGAACAAAATGGTTGGCTGTCTTCATTCGGACAGAGGATAGCAGAGCTGTTTATTGTTTGGCTATAACTTGTCTCAACTTCCACTTGACCAAAACGCCCCCGCAATTATAAATTTTGGACTACCCATCCATTGTCATCAATTTGCGACAGTACCGAACAAAAGTTTTCAATTGGCTAAGCTTATGATACATTTGTGGGTTATCTTCTCTCGGTACATAATTAACGATATCCTGTTCCAACTCGTCCGGCAGGGTTATTACGAGGAAAATCTATACAGGGTGGCGCATCGAAAACGAAACAGACGCATTTACTGGCAGCTTAGTTTTTTTGGAAAAACGATCAGACCGTCGATTTTGTTTTCGAGGGGGACACAAGTTTGGCAAAAATCACGTTAACACCCCTCTGGGCGGGGGTGGCACCAACCCTAAAATCTTAAATAGAAAGGGGGGTCAAGTGATACCTTATTTTAAAGGTCTTTAAATTCCCTTTATAATGACGTAAAATACATGAGCTTCAGTTCAGTAGTTTTGAAGATTTATTGATTTAAAGCTTAAAGTAGACTTTAATAGGCACATCAGATTAGTTTGATATGATTTGACTAAAAGAATTTACTTAATAAGTAAATGCTTTTCTTCACTACGTTCATGGTTTGTTTATCATTTTGTTGTTGAAAATAGCTATTGGAGCGTTTTGTTGTGGCAAAAAAGTTATTTCTTGGAAAAAGATAAGGAAATATCTCGTATTTATTTTAGATAGGAATTTAGTACATAGTTTGCGATTTATTTGACCAAACTTTGTTGCTAAAATAACTTGTAACGCTTTATTACATAAATTAACCATGGTATATTCCACACCAGAAAGAGTTGAAATTATCGAAATATTTTTCGGAAATAATCAGTGCGCTAATAGAACAGTAGAAATATTTAATGAGCGACATGAGAATAGTAACGTGCATCGAAAATATGTTCTAGAACTTGTAGCTAAATTTCGGGAAACTGGGTCAGTCGCCAATAAAAAACGCAACATTGAAAATCCCATAAGGAACGAAGCAATAGAAGTAGGAGTTTCAGGGCAAGTTTATGTAGATCCTACGTTAAGTACCCGTAAATTGGAGACTGTGTGTGGTGTTAGTCGACGTACTGTACAACGGATTCTCAAGGCCCATAGTTTTCATCCGTATAAAATTCACCTGGTACAAGAACTTAATGAATACGATTTTGATCGGTGATTACAATTTTGTGAAGATATGAGTGAACGAATTATAAACGATGAACATTTTCTATTCAACACTTGTTCCTTTTTCTTAAATGGCGTAGTAAATCGTCATAACTGCCGATATTGGTCCGATTCTAATACCACAATTTATCATGAGGTTCATACACACCAGCCACAAAAATTAAATGTTTCGGCTGGTATTTTTGACGACCATTTAGTTGGTCCTTTTTTTGCATGGAAATTTGACCGGTGAAATGTATTTGGAATTACTGGAAGACGCCATAGATCCTGCATTAACAGCCATAATTGAAAATCGGAATGATCGGCGGTACATTGCGTATAGGTTATGTTCCAACAGGATGGTGCCCCACCACATTACGCATTACGTGTTCGACAATATTTAGATTAGACGTTTCCAGATCGATGGACTGGTAGAAGAGGTGCCATTGAATGGCCCCCAAGATCGCCAGATTTATCACCTTTGGATTTCTTTATGTGGGGTCATTTAAAAAGCGAAATCTATGCTACTCAGCCAACATCATTAGACGACCTGCGACAAAGAATTGTGAATGAGTGCCTTTAAATTACTCCTCAAATATTGCAAAATGTGCGGCAACGTTTTGAGCAAAATCTTTATTATTGCATG